AAGCTGCCCTATTTTTTCTTGCTGTTTACATTTCTGGTTTTAGTTGTTATATATTTATCTCAGGGGCCAGATTTGCTCACTAAAACTTTCATAATTACATTCAAGGGCCTGCACGGATATGGTACGTGTTACTAGAACGAACTGTCTATGGAACACATGTCTCTCTGTGGCCAAACTTCAGCAAAAGGAACAGACCTACTCACAACTTGCAAAGTTTTGGTTCATGCATTTACTGTTGTACATCTCTTAGGCTGAGACTGGGAATGAAGTGCTTAGGCTTCAATAGTTAAGCAGGATTATGAAGTCACCTCTCAAGTCTGCACTTCTGTATGACATATGTTGAAAGCAATGACATGGCATTATGTGGAACTGTACAGATTATAGACAATTTATTCAGTTGTCTTTTGAGATCCCTGAAGAGGAAAGTATAAATGATCTACTCAGAGATTCCTCTGGTCCCATGATTAATAGAAGGGAAATTATTGGAAGTGAAGTGGCTGTTGCTAAACTGAAAGTTTTATGGAATGGGTGGGCCATATTCCAGGGAGATACAGGCTTGGATAAGCAGGACATCTGGCATCCCCCAAGAAGCAGACTAATCTTGGTTGCAGTGTAACGAGAACAACCAAAGCAGTATTTAATTGCTAATGCAAGGGAAGGGTGATCAGAGACAAATGCACAACAAATTTAGTCTGTAGTGAACAAATTGAATGATATGACAAAGATTGTGACTGGCAAAACTGTTTCAATTGCTTATATATCAATGCCAGGAATCTGAGTAACAAGCAAAACAAATAAAAAATTGGGAATTTCTGATTAGTAGGGCCTGGTTTAAATTGTGGGCCCATCTTGCAGTACAGTGACTCCTTTAATCTTGGAGTTCTCCCGCATGCCTTTCCCCACGATTGATTGGTAGAGGGGCCCCATGGCTCCACCGCTGTCTCCTGGTGGCTGGGGTGTAAAAACTGTGGTTTTAAATATGCTGCAGTTTTTGCCTCCTGTCTAGTCAAAACCATGGTTTTTGTCTCCTAGCCATCAGGAGTGAGTGGGGAGCAGTGGGGCTGTGGCATCCCTTCACCAGGTAACAGCAGGGGACACACAGGGGCAACTCCCAGATTAAAGGAGCTGTAGCACTGTGAGCTGGACCCACAATTTAAACCAGGCCCTACTGAGTAGTGAGAAGAATCTCAATGTGATTTCCATTGCTGCAACCTAGCAGGATGATTTGCATGACTGAAATGTTAAAATCATTGCTGTAACCAGTTTCGGAAGTATTGAGTGGGGTGGGGATGCAAGAGGCAAGGATTTTTGTGGATATGGTTTTTGGATCAACTGCACAATTGTGATACATTTAGACAGACTAACTTTCTAGTGCAAGGTTTGCTTCTTTGAAGGGGAATGGCACTCTACATTAAATACACCCTTACTTAATTTAGAGTTATTGATAGCTAAGAATTGTCACTGTTTGGAAATTTTTTGTGGAAATGCCTTTCAGACAGAATATGCTGTTTTTGCAAAACTGGCTTTTCTCCATAGGAAAATTGATAATAGTGCTGGCTCCCTAACCCTGCCCGTCAGGAAGGCACTTGTCAATGCCTCTTTCTTCCTCGAGGAGGACTGCTGAGGTTAAGGTTGAACACTGTGACTTGCTGGCTCCCTGCGTTCCCTCTGGCTCCTGCTGCCAAAAAGACAGAAAGCCTGTGTACTAGGGGATGGGAGGCAGTGGAGCAGTTGAGTCTCACCCTTCTCTGCCTTTCCAGCAAGCAGAGCTAGGGCAGAGGTGAAGAGGTTGAGCACCCTGGCTTTCTGCAGCAGCTGAGCTGGAAGACTTTTACCAATTTCTCTTTCAAAACCCTACTAGCTGGGTGCTGGAAAGCTTAAAGATTCTGTTTTGGGTCTCCTGAAATAGGATTTTCCTGGAAATTCTTTAAGGCTTTTCTGACTTTTTGTCCTGATTTAAGATAAAAAGTTATAAAAATAATACAAAATTTTCACAGGAAAAGGTTTGTTTTCCAGTCAGCTCTGGTGAGAACCACAGCATATAGAATACATAAATTATGGATTTGTGCACTACATAGACAAGTCCAAAAGGTGACATTAATTTGGAATTTGTTATAGACCCCAGGTGAGTATTTCTCACTGTCTTTAATATGTGGCAAAAATGTATTATCCTAGGGAACTTAATGCTCAATCTGTTTATTTTATCAAAAATAAAGTTGAGAGGGGACTTGGCTTGTTATGCACTCCTCTTCAGGGTGAAGAAATATAGAGTTGTAAAGAGTTCTTTATACCAGTGGGAAAAGGCATAGCAACAATCAAAGTTTGGAACCTGGAGTCAGGTTGGAACAAATTCAAACTGGAAATAAGACAACATTTTTGAGTAGTGAAGATGATGAGTCTTTGGAACAAATTGCCTAAGGATGTCATGGATTTTCCCTTCCTTTGTGTGTTAAAATTGAGACTGGATCCTTTTAGGGAAGGTATGTTTTAACCCAATCTGAGTTATGTTTTGGCCATATATAAGTTCTTGAACTAGATATAGAGTAACTGGGGAAATGTTAATATCCTATGACACACCATGATCTAATGATCCCTTCTGGCCTTAATTTCTATGATTCTATAGAAAATGAAAGAGTAATGTAATAGGTTGTTTGCTTTTTGAAGGCCTGGGGTCAGGCAGCCCCATTCAATTATCAGATCCATCTGGTAAAGGAGCAATTGATTGTAAAAGGCAGCAAACACTCAGTTCAGGGAGAGCTGCGGGCAGGAGATGAGTTCCTTCAATAGACTCAGATCACAGGGATTCAAGGGAAGGGTGTGCTTTGTACTGCTGGATGAGGCCCAAAGTGCACAAAGGAACTGGGTTTTTTTGCTTTGGTGTTTTTCCCACATTTCATATTGGAGAATGAAGTTGTTCCCAGAAAGAATCGATGAGTTTGGCAATGAGTCTGTCCTGATATGGGAAAGCAGGCCAGTGGGCAAGGAGCAGTTACAGTGACTCTCTACATCATGAGAAGCCAGACCATTGAGCCACTAGTAAAAGTCAAATTGCCGCATCTGTGGGAGGCCACACAATTAAAAAAGGAAGATGGTTGGCACAGGATCAGTAGATCCCAAAAATAATGTAATGTCGGTCTATGGGACCATCCCAAATATGACCTAGCGTACTATACAGTTCAAACAGGATTAAAAGCAGCATTCAACAAGCAGGGTGCTGCACTTTCTCTGTTTTGAGTTTACAGTATGTGATTTTTGGTATCAAAAGTGTTTTGGTGCATGTGTGTGGATGACTGTCCAAAGCTGGCTTGGTCACCATGTGACAGAGATCCTAAAGAAGAAAATTTGCATCGTACTTCCCAACACTACATAAATCTCTAAAACTGTCACAGAATAAATCAGGAGGAAAGGAAGAAAAAAATGTCCTGAGCTTGAAATAAAAGAAAATCCCCTATTTTAAAGTTGTTGGGGCTTCCTTGTGCAATGTTTTCCACTTCTTAAAGGAGATAAAGTTTCTAACAATGTTTCTGTGTATTTTGTTTCTTTTGTTTTATTATCAAGAGATTAAGGTACTTTACCGGGTGAATAAATGCTGCTACATATTCAACCTAGCCAGCACCAGATTACAGAATAAATAAATCATAGATTAAACTTCACCAGGAAGCTTGAAACTACCACGCTTCAAGCGTGGTAATTGTGGCGTGTGGTGCCACATTTACGACTAACTCTCTCATGCACCTGGACCTGAACAAGTCACAGAGACTGGGAGAGAGACAATAAAGGTAGATTACAGCAGCCTTGCTTCTGTGTTTATTTTCTAAACTATGTCTGGCTATTAAATTATTATTGATTACACTATTTATTAGACATTAAATTATTATTTATTAAATTGTTGTTGTTAAGTTATTCTAAAACTTACTTCATCAATAAAACACAACATGATGCTAGGAGTTCAGTTTAATATATTTGTATGTTCCTTCAGCTTGGACTATGAAGTTGAAACAATTAGTTTAACTTTGGTTTAGAGTCAGTTTTACTCTCTGATTCCTCTGAACTAGGACAGTAATTTTCTGTTTTGATTTTCAGAAAAGTAAGAGAATCTAGATTTGTAAAGGTCATTGTATTTAGCAATTAAGAACATTTTCTTTTCCTTTATTAAAACTTTTCCTTAAAAATATGCAATTATTGGGCCTATCCTACTTCACATTCCTCCTTAAATTTCACCTCAAATCTAGAGCCCTTTCTTATACATCATTTTCCATTGTGTGTAGTTGGGCACTTTATGTGAATAAGAATTGATCATATGTTGAGGGTTCATTCTGCCAGACATAGTAGGTCTTTAAAAAAACCCAACTGATTATGCTTTTTTCCGCCACCTCTCATTTATGCGTTGGGTTTTTTTTCACAAACAGCATTTTTTAAAAGAGATTTTTGAAACCTAAATATCTCCAGACTCCTGTGTTTCTCTTGGTTTCAGCTTCTTGTTACAGGCAGATGGAGGTGCCTATAGTTAAGGTTATTTCAAGCCTCAGTCTTCCTCTCCTGTCAGAAAATATCTGTAAAGCACACTGGAAAAATGTGTGTTTCTATTTCTCTTAGGGTGCTTACAAATATTTGCCACACCTAGTCTGTGATCACGCCATTTGCTTTAAGACGTGTGATTGTAGGCTGGGGGCATGTCTACATGTGCACATGCAGTGCTCAGTAATTGAAATTACTGTGCAGTACAGGCGCACAACTACACATGCATGCCTGTACTGCACAGTAAATATGGTGACTTATGCCGACTTGAGTGTAAATTTGATACCTGAATCATCCACGTATCAAATTCATGCTCAACTAGTTACTGCATAGTAACTCACATGTATGTGGAAGGGCACTGTTGGTGCCTGCCACTTTAAAGGCTGAGACAAGCAGCCAGCAGGTGCTTGATTGTGGCGGCCATTTTAGATCTCTGGCTGCCTATATAAACAGAGCAGTTACCTACTGCCAGGCCAGGCAGAAACATTGCTTGGCTGCAAGGCTGTATGCAACATCCTGGAGGTAAGAGCAAGAGCTTAAGGGGATGGTTTGGAGGCTACTGGACCTGGTTATGACCTAAATCTGCACCCTGCTGGGAGTGGGTGGCCTGGTGGCGCTCCCAGTGGTGTGGGAGCCCCCAGGAAATACCAGGCCAGTTACCACCCCAGTGAAAGGTGGGTTGGGGCACCTTAACCCCTAGCCCCCATGATACTGTGGGTACAAGGGGGCCAGGCATGGCTATGGCTACCTGAGCCCCCATTGGGGAGGGAAGACCTGTGACCCCAGTGATGGGGTGGAGATGAGGAGCCCCTGTGAGGGGAAAACCAGACAACTGGGAGCCCAGTACATGTGTGTGTGAGTGTATAGAGTTGCTTGGTGAGGGGCTTAGGGTGGAATTAGCCCAGGGTTTTGCCCTGCAGAGTTGAGGTACTCATGGGAACTGAAGGGGCTGTGTGGTGAAGCCAGTATGTGAGCACTGAAACCTGATGGCCCAGAGGGGTTGCTCAAGGAAGAGCAGGGTGGTGGAGTGTGGCCTGGTGATGGGCAGTATGCCAGAGGCCCTGGTGAGAGAGGGGTAGAGTGGAAGAGGCCTCCTGTGAGAGGGGAGGTGATATATGTGTGTGTGTGTGTGGAGCCCAACTTTGGACTCGGTTTGCTCTGGTCTCAGGCTGGGAGTAATATTAACCTGGATGCCATCTGCGAGGCTTGGGCTGCGATGTAGGGGAGGAATGGAGCTGCAGATAGCACCCCCTGGCATTGGGGCAAGAATGGGCAGTCTCCCACCTAATTAACACCATAATTATGTAGCCTCAAGGATTGGCAGGTGAGGAGGCAGGCTGTTGGCCCAGGAACAGGTGGGCAGGCCAATGACAGACCGGCCCTGAGAGAGCCCCCTGTTATAGTGTAGATGCCTTACTGTACAGTAACACTGTGGGTGTGGACTGACTTGGGTCCCAAATCAGTCCACACACAGCATTAACTCCCATTAACATCTGCATGTGTAGATGCTGGCCTATTCCTGCTTACTGCACAGTAAATTTTAAACCAGAGTAAATACACATGTGTACATGCTACTTCCAGTGTATGTCTAGATGCTGTCTGGTACCAGGAGCCATGCAGGGAACCTGGTGCAAGTAACTCAGGGTGGGCAGGGGTGCTAGCAGGTTTGCAGTGGTGGGGGGAGGTGTTGGTGGGATCTAACTTAAGTGAACTAACTTGGATCAAGCCCACCACTTTTGGCTCAACTTAACCCCCCTGAATGTCTACATAAATCAGCACTTGGATCAACCTAACCCCAGTTAGATCAGTCTAAATGTAATGTTTGTATGTACCCTTAGGGGTTTGGCTGCACAGGGTGATAACCTATTATTACTGTTAAATAACAGCATCTCTGCTGTGACCTAGAGATATGAACCTTAAGCAGGGTTCCAATGTTAGACCCTAGAAACTCCATATTTTGGACCTCATTTTTCAATTTGCTGTTTTAAAATAAATACATGAAAGTTGTCTGGCACAAAATTAAAATACTTTAAAGATGGATTTCAGTAGCTCAGCTAGTAGACATAAACTTTAGTTGCAATATATGCCATTCCACCTTCCATAAAATACTGCTGTTTTGGCTTGAATTCCATAAAGCTTTAGGCTTGGTTACTTACTGTAGTGTTAGGCTGCTGTGGGTTTTCTCCTAGGCAAGAGATTTCATTTCTTCTAATGGATCCTATTGTGCTGTTATAAAAATGCCTAGTGGAAGTACTGTGACCTGGCTGCCACTGCATGCCCCGACCATGAATCAGTGCATAGATATTTTGGATTACAAAGGCAAATGGGTGGTAAACTGCTTTGCAGGAGATGGTACAGAAACCAGTGTAGCACATTAAAACCAGAAGGGAAAAGTGGTGTTTTTAAACCTTGCTCAACGGAGCTCTTTGACCCTGCTAATTGATAAGTAGTAAAGTGTGAGAGAAAGCAGACACATGCTGTAAAACATGCCTTTCAGATTCTTTCCCAAGGATGTAAGGAAAGCTGGAGAAAGGGAGGCTAACTTTCAAAGCAGCTGTTTAAATCTGTAGTGCAATGGGTTCAATCTACAGCAAATCCAACTAGTGCATGATGGGATTTGTGATTTATTGCGGCATCGTAGAGGCAAGTAGAAGTTGACAAAAGATGAATGCTGAGGACTGCATTAATCAGAGTGTTCTTCAGTGTGAAGTGGATTCTTTTTCCAGAGAAGCTCATTAAGTCATTTAGAGATACTGGCCATTTGTAAATAGTACAATGAATTTGATAGGATGAAAGAACACTGTGGACCTACAGTGTTAGTAACTTTTGCAGATGTCTACACAAACTGCAGTGCTCAGATTCCTGTAAACAAATTAAATGGATCACAGGATATTATACCTGTATACAGCATCTACTTAGGAGGTGTTTTCTGTACACGAAGAAAATCAGTTGGAAAAAGTTGAGGGTACAGGGAATCCCTTATGTATATATTAATTTAATACATAGCTGTGAATGGCTTGCACCTGTGTAGAAGGGCAATGAGGAAAGGTTTCATTGCATGTGTGACATCTGTTTAGTAAATTTTAGTGTACTGTATGGGCACCAGCCTAAGACCTTTTTTTTTTTTTTTTGCAGGGGTCATGCAAGTGGTGAATGACCTAAATTTCTGCTGATTTGAGATGGATTAACATTCTGATTTGTCTCGGTGGGGAGGAGAGAAAGAAACAGTCTACATAGCACAAACTGGAGAATCCAGAATTATTACATTAGGGCTATGTTGCATGGACCTCATAATACACGTTAAGTGCACTTAAAACCTGAGCGGCTGCATGTTCAAGCAGTAAAACACATGCTAAAGGCACTCGTATCTTAGCAGACTTGCAGCTTTTTGCACAAGGAGTATCTCCAGATGGTATTAAGTAACACTTGTTCAGCTACCATCAGCCTGCTCCATGGAGATAATAAGAGCAATGTACAATCTGCTGGCATTGCAGGATGCACCACTCCCAGCTCCAAACCCCACCCTCCCCCAGCTCTAAGGGTTGGTCTGTTGATCCACCTGAACTCTACTGCTCATGGGGGTGGTACCCCAGCCCATATGATAGCACCCTGAACCCCCATTGAAAGTTTCAAGGTTTGCTGAGGTCTCCACTGTTGCTTGAATGTTTCAGTATGAACATTAAACACCTCGGTTCATGAGCTGAACCAAATCAGAGGATGTCCTCCTTGGACCACTGCAGGAGGGCCATGAACTGGACTTGTGATGAGGTACTAGACTTCATCATGATCTGGGGTGAGGAGAGAGCCATTTATTACCCTCTAAGAATGGGAAGGGCAGCTGACAACCAGGAGGTCTATGAGTATATTGTAACCCAGATGGTGGCTTGGCACATGATCTGTTGCTAGTCTCACTCTGCGCTAAAGTGGAGTGTGTGAAGTCATAATACATTTGGGGCAGGGACACCTACATCTTGGGTGCCATGAGGACTCTGGTCTCCTACTCTGAGGAGCTATCAAGAATCCTTCAGACAGGCCACACTGTCACTCCTTGTCACACTATTCACTGCATATCTGCAGGCCCACTGTGGTGTAGCAGTGGTGATGCAAATGATTGAATCCTCTTCACTGCCTTCTACTGAACCAGCTTTGAAGGGGCAGAAGGATGCCTGATCAGTGAGTTTGTTGCCTAGCCAGATCCTGACCCAGACCCAGGATGCACAAGATGGGGACCACTCAGATGAGTCTCATTGAATGAGTGGACACAGATGAACAAACACCAGCTGATGGTAAATTTCAGCGACTCTGGGAGGAAAAGATTACAGGTGAGGTGACTCTGGCTCATGGTTTGGGGATGATCCCCCTCTGGGGATGGTGTGTGGCTCAGAAGTGATTTGAGGCTCACTCTGGGTTTGGTGTACATGGTGAAATGCCAAGGTAGTGGGGGTTTAGGTTTAGGTAGTGGGGTGGCAATTAGTACAGATTGCATCCCAAGTGTAGGGAGCATTAGAAAGCAGGGGCATTGTGTTCTACACAGTGTAGCAGATGTGAGAATCGGTGCTACACCCCTGCTTAGACCATGCCAGTTGTGCATGGGCCAGTGGCCCAGTTAAGGTGCTCAATGGCTGGGCCAGGTAGAGTTAACCCTGGTTAAAGATTCATTCTTGCATGCAAAGCAGTCAGTGGAATCCTGATCCATCTGCCCCACCCAACCCTCAGACCATGCTGCCTAGCAATGGCAGCTCGCAGCCCACCCTTCCCTTGTCTCCTCCTTCCTCTATGGACATTTTGCATGCACTGGGGAATGCTGGTAGATTTGCAGGGGGGCATCCTTACTCTAGCCTGAGGATATTGGTTATGGCTAGTTGAAGTCTATGTGCCAGTACCTAGAAGCAAGTTTAGCAGAGCTCCCACGTGCATAAACAAGGTCCAACCCCTTGCACAGCTTGTCGGGGCACCAACATGTGCGCGCACACAGAATCAAAGGCTCTTATTTAGTTGCATCTGAGTGTAAGCAGAGAGGTGGCAGAAGGGATAAAGCCCTGAGGGGGGAGGTGTCACTTGCTGTAATCTCTTGCTGCCCTGCATTCCTCCCCATAAGGCACTGTTGATGTGGTTAGTGGCAGTCTTGTACACTCTTCTGTAGGGGCCAGATGTAGACTGGTCCAGCAGCAGGGAATGCTGTCATTATTTGGCTCCCAGGAGGGCATTCTGAGTGGCATTTGAGCAGGGCATAGGATGGGGGGGCATCACTTTTCAGAGGACAGCTTGTGGCCTGGTGGGGGAGGGCAAGGAGATCCCAATTCGGGATGTGTGACTCCTATGCCCACATTACAGCTTCACAGACCTCCTGGTAGTGACAGCAGCAACATTTCCAAAAGCCTCACATAAATCTGTAGGATTGCTACCTTTCCCAGGGAACCATCAAAACTGGCTCTTTGCTTCCATGACTCTAGGGTTTGTACTGACATAAGAGCTTGCAGAAGCATCAGGGCATGTCTTGTGAAATCACCACCTGCAAGCTCAGAGTTCATCTCTTTTGCTGCTGGGAATCTTTTCACAGAGATATCAGGCGGAGAAGCAGTGTCCTGAGACAGAGCCAGACAGTCAAGTTGGCTTGGGGAGCCTTCCTAAAGAGAACCTCTGTGGAGGGAAAGGGAGAGGGACAGGAGTTAACTGCAAGTAGGTAGCTGAGAAAATGCTTAACGTGGTGCAGTCTTGATCTTGTCCTGCTTGCCGAAGGAAGTGAGTGGGTCCGGAGAGTAAGATGCTGAGGTTTTCCCTTGTAGGATCTACAAGGTCTACTCTGCTGTCAGACAACGGTGTGTTGTACACCTGCAGAGCATGTTTGGAAATCCAGAACCAACGCATGTTATCTACTAACAGCAGAAGTGACTTTGAGTGTGCTTCTAAAATGTTCACTCCTCAGTGTTAGCTCTGGCCGACAAGAACTCAGGAGGTTCCAGCACCAATGCTGTCCCAAGGACATGAAGAGATGCTTCTGCTCAGAGGTTGTCCCATAGCTGAAAATGTTAGTGGGACCAGCAAGGTCAGATGCTGAAGAGCTTTGTGGAGTTCTTCACATGCTGAGCCAATGCAATGGACAGCTGGTTTTCTGCTAAGAGGCAGACCTGTAGATAAGGGACTTGGGCTGAACCAAAAGCCACCCTACAGTATACTTACCACAACTGTACACTTTGTACAGATTATTTGAGAAAGTAAAGCTTGAACAGTTGTAACATTTGTCCTGTGTGTGTGTGTGTGTGTGTGTGTGTGTGTGTGTGTCCCATCCAGGCTTCAGGTTAAATTGCTCACAACCCCAATTAACGCAGTGATTCATGCCTCCGTTTCTCGCTTCCAGACAGGCCTTGAAGCTCCCAACGCAGGATCCTATGTCTTGGTTTCCTTCTTCCAACTAGCCTTGGAAAACTCCCAGCACAGGACCATGGTCCCCCATGGGTCTTCCAGTGTTTCCATTCCTTGACCTCCCCCCTCCAGTTCCCTTGGTCCCAAACTGCCCACAATAGTGAGTACTAAGTCCAGCGGTTACAGTGTGAGATATTTACTGAGAATCTTTAGACAAGCACACTAAAAGTACAGTGTGGCAAATGAAGGGCTCACAATTGCTCGGAGGTCCCCTGCACCTCCTCATACTCTCCGAATACTGTTGCATCAGGTAGGTAGCCATAGCTCCCCTGATCAGAACGGAGCCTGGTGGTGGTTTTGTCTGGGATGCTTGGCCAGGAACATTGTTTTGGTTAGACACCATAAACTGCTAGAGACATCCCTCACAGTTGGTCTGTCTGGAGCCAGCCCTGCTTTCCAGGAAGGCCTACCCTGCTTCACCTCATATATTGCAGAGGATGGAAGTGGCACTCATGAAGTTGGGAATGTTTGTGGGCCAGAGTGCAAGGTAGACCCCAGGGATGTCTAGCACACATTTAGGCACACCTCACCACCATCCAACAAATACTTACCTGGTAACTAAAAAAACTCCTCCTGGGGTCCAGCCAGCTAGTACATGGCTTCATGAGCCAGGGGAGTAGCAGGGAGGCCAGGTTACAAGTGATTAGTGTGGGCACCCCTTCCAAATCTATGGTAAGAGTGCTGGGGTGACCTCCTCTTACTCTATCATCTCTGGGAAACTGGAGTTCCTAAATATGCAGGCAATTGTGTATTCAGGAAGATCATGCAACATTGATGCTAGTGAAGGACCTCTGGTGGTCAGCAACTCCCTGGAGTATAACTGAAAAGAACCCTGTATGGTGAGGTATGGCAGGAGGAATGCAGAATGGGTATGTGGATCTCATCAACAGACCTGACACAGTTTGGGAAGCCCATCTATTTGAACTCTACAATAACCTCCTGTAGGGCCATGAGCTGGATGAACTGAGGCCCAAGTATTTTCATTCTCAAGTATGGTGTGTAACACTTTGTGTACAATTATCATTGCCATCATCTGTTTCTCATTGAACTGGTTGGCAATGAAGTGCAGGCTACCTGTGTTTGTCAACTTCCAAATCACTAGGGCCATGTGTCTCTCGATGGACAGAAGGTGTTGGAGCCCAATGTGCTGGTGCTGGACCAGGGGACCAGCTTGGCACAAGGATCCATGAGTGTGCCATGTCATAAAGTTTCACTGCTGCCACTTGTCCAAGATTCTGAGCATGAGTTGCTCCCAATAGTCCAAGCTCACAAGTAGTGCCCAACAGCAATGAGGTGGTATCCAGTTCCAGGCCTACAGTGCACTGGCTTGCATGGCGTTGTGTTGTGTATCCTGCTGCCCATGGCAGCATCACAGTCCTCAAAGTAGTGTCTGGAACTCACACCAGCAAAACATGGAGTGCCTGTGGATTACAGCAGTCAGGGCAAAGATTTGCTCAATTCCACCACTTGTCACCACCAGAAAGCCCCTGGAGATCCAATTCCAGCTGGAACAGTCAGTCAAGGAGGGATTGGAGATCCTTTGCTAGGTCCTCACCTCCAGCAAAAAAGCTGGCCAATCAGTGCCTTTGGCTGCACTCAGCTGTTTTCAGCCACTGTTGGAAAACTGGAAAAAAGCCACTCCCACCCAGCGTGTTGGGAGGCCTGCTTACTGCCTCTCCTGTGGCAGAGTGTGAACTGTGCATGTAGAGTTCATAGTAAACATTATTGTGCAGCTGCTCAGCATGTGCTCTAACTTTACTACCATGTGACATTCTACACAGGTGTAACACATACTAAGTGTCCAACACCTTGGGCCCTTACTTTAGTGGGATCGTGTTGTCACTGATGAAAGGGGACTTCTTGTAAGCATATTAAGAAAAGTGGCATCTTTGCTTTTTTTTTTTTTTTTTTAGATTTCCAGTTGAAAGATACCATGCCTACTATTGCATAACAGGGTGAGATTTTGGTATAAACAAAACAAAACCCTGCAGCAGGGATCTCAAAAATAGATAACCCAGTTCTTGTCAGAGAGGGCTTGAGAGAGAGAAATGCACCCACCTTCATTGCCATAAGTGGGCAGTGCCATAAGTAGGACAGTGCACAGAGAGAGATGAGAGAATTATCCTACTCTGAATTAGTGCTAAATTAGCCCACTGCAATTATATCTTTAGGCATGTGCCATTTAAAATTCCCTTTGAATGCTCCTGCTGTCACTCAGTCCAGGCGGGGGTTACTTACTCAGAGGTAAGAGCTGACATCATCAAAAGGAAACATGCTGGATTTTTTATTTGAAGATTCTGTCTCCACTTGGTCTGATCAAAGGTTATAATCTGAGTTCTTTTCTGAGGAAAAGATGACTGATGTTGATTGAGAGGGTAGGGATCCCATACTGAATATATTTAACCACAAAGGGAGAAAGGTTGTGTGCAAGATACTATACTGCAAGAATCTATACTGCAAGAATCCCTTCTTTTGATGGTGTATTTTATTTGCTGTTTTTGCAAAATAACTCTTTCCAATGGGGTCCTGAGGACAGTCAGCTGGAGACATGGGAGTATGATGTTAGTGGGGTCAGTAGGATGATAATGACTCCCAACACTGATATGGAGACCCAGGGAATCCATGGCCAAGTATGAATCCTCTCTATTTGGCACTGGCGAGGCCACATCTAGAGTACTGAGTCCAGGTCTGGGTCCCCCACTACAGGAAGGATGTGGTCAAATTGGAGGGAGTCCAGCAGAAGGCAACAAAAATGTTGAGAGGCTGGGGTACATGAGAAAAGGCTGAGGAACTGAGCTTATTTAGTCTAGAGAAGAGAAGACTGAGAGGGGATTTAACAGCAACCTTCAACTACCTGAAGTGTGGTTCCAAAGAGGATGGAGCTGGACTGTTCTCACTGGTGGCAGATGGCAGAACAAGGAGCAATGGTCTCAAGTTGCAGCCAAAGAAGTTTAGGTTAGATACTAGGAAAACTTTCTCACTAGGATGTGGTAAAGCATTGGAACAGATTACCCAGGGAGGTGGTGGAATCTCAATCCTTAGGAGGTTTTTAAAACCCGGCTAGACAAAGGCTTGGCCAAGATAGTCAAGTTGGGGCTGGTCCGGGTTTGAGCAAGGGGCTGGACTAGATGACCTCCTGAGGTCCCTTCCAGCCCTCATTTTTTATGATTCTAAGGTCAGGCAGTTTTGAAATTTGCAGGCTTAGGGACTTGAGTTGTTGCTCAGTCGGTGTTGGGGTTCCTCTTTCATCCAGTGGGATGATGTAGGTTATCTCTCATTCTTCATTCTGTCTGGGGGATGCAGTAGTCCTTTCATTGGTGGCATGTAAGGTGGTTGCACTATTAGCTTGTTTTAGGTTTATGACTTGCATGGACTGTTATTGTAGGTGACCCAAACATGGATATGATGGACAATGCCATGCCACTTCCCTCATCTTGCAAGCTGTCCAGTTCTGCCACAGTGAATTCTTTTTTTTTTTAGCTACTGTAGCTATGCAATTCAAGCTCCTCACTGCTTTGTAACAAAGTTTCTTTTACATTTTTAAATAGTGTTTTGTTTTCAACAACATATATGCTCAGTGATCTGGAAATCATCAGGGTCTCCCGAGCAAGATAGCAATTAAATCCAAGGTTTCTGCATAAGACCTAGACTATCTCTTAGTCCAAGTTAAGCTTCACTAATGCCCAAAAGCCATGTACATTTTCATTCCTAAGAGTCCCTTCAAGCACTTTAATCAAGGTATCTAGCTGCTTGGAACAACAGAAGTGATTAGCTATGTAGAAGCTAGCAGCAGTACAGATTTAGTCTTTTGTCCCTCTGTACCAATTGTTTTCTTTCTGCTTATTGTTCCAACTCAAACGATGACCATGTAGGAGAGAGAGAAACTGATGCTCCTTATTCAGCAGCAGGGATCTAATAAATATTGAAATTGAATCTCTCACTCACACACACACACACACACACACACACACACACACACACACACACACACACACACACACACACCAGGTTTAAAAGCCCTTAAATAAAAATTTAAGGCTTTCTCTGTTGTGTAAAAGTGACATTCCTTTGTTTCTTACCTCTATAATTACCAGTCAGGCAAAAAGGGATGTATTTCTGATCACAGAAGGGAGGGGGGGGTGGGATTTCTTACCTGTCTGGGGGACTTTAAAAACTCCCCAACTGCTGTTCCTGCAGTGTGTTCAGAAAGAGGGTGGGATGTGCCACTGTACCCCCTTGATACTCCCTAGCCCCGTTGCCATTCCCCAGTTCCAGAATGCATGTGAAAGAACTTTACCTGCTAGAAATGTAACTCAGAAAGATATTATAATTTGGGGGTTTGGAAAAGGGAAAGAATCTTGCATATAGCAACTAAAGGTAATTTCACAAGTGTACTGAGTAAACATATGGCATTAGAATTACTGTTAATGAGTTTGTAATGACGCACACTACTCAACCCTGAATAGAGCAATGTGGCTATAACAGTATTTTGTGTATGAAAGGATTAAACCACTGGAGTGGAGCTCAGGAGATTTGGGTTCAACTCTCAGCTCTGCCACAGGCTGCCTGTGTGACCATATGTCAAATGGTCTGTGGACAGCGGTCATTCTAAATCATTTTAAAAGTGAAAGGCACTTGCTTGGGACTGTGTATCAGATATTTGGATTTAACTGTTATGTCTGTCCATTTGAATGAATTAAACTACTGTGAATTAAACCCGAATGAAACACATTTAACATCACTGCATTTTAG